CAATCACAACTATTCTAAGTAAAACCTTAATATTTTTTGTAAACAACTTTTGTTGTGTTATTATAGATGACATCTCTTTAAGTCACTATATAATATGTTTGTAATTTTTTATTTATATTAAAGTTGTGCATAAATTATCATTGTTTGTTACATTTTTTTTTATTTCGTATAAGAAATAAATTTGACGGTATTACTGTTACATTTTAGGAAATTCATCGATGGAAACAATTGTTGAAATTTCAAAGCTAGCTGGGAATTATTTAGGCCGCCACAGAAAACTTGAAGAAGATCTGAATGAGTTGAGAAGCGAATGGCAGGTTCTAAAGAGGAGAAAAATTGACATTAGTTCAAGAATACAAGTAGAGGTAGAGGTTCACTCGGACCCGGTGGTGAAACAAGAAGTAGAGGGATGGCTTGAAGATGTTCAGAAGATCGAACAAGACATACAAGATGTTGAAGAAAGAGTAGGCACAGTTCCATACCACAAACGTGCCAGTCTTGATAAACTTGTGCGTGAAAAAACTGAAGTGGTGAAGAGGATTCAAGGGAGGGGCATTTTCGAAGGAGGCCTTGGGATTAAGAGAGCTCCAGCTTGTGGAATGGTAATTCCAACAGAAAATTTAGAGGGTGAAATTTCTACTAAAGATGAAATTTGGGAGCACTTGATGGGCAACAAAGTTGGAATGATTGGGGTTTGTGGTATCAGTGGAGTTGGTAAGACTACAATCATGAAGCATGTTAACAATGATTTGTTGACGGAGAGTAGATTTCAGAAAGTGATTTGGGTTACTGTATCATATCCTCTCAATGTTTTAGAACTACAAAAGAAGATTGCACTTGCTATGGGCAGAACACTTCCAGAAGATAAAGAAGAAATGATGCGAGCTGCAGCACTAATGGAGATAATGGGAAGAGTGAGATTTGTGCTAATATTAGATGATGTATGGGAAAATTTTTCTTTGAGTGATGTTGGAATCCCAGAACCAACTATGCAAAATGGATGCAAAGTAGTTATCACTAGTAGACCAGTTGATGTATGCAATTCTTTGGGTTGTAAGATTGTTAAAGTGCAGCTTCTTTCACCGCGGGAGTTCCTAAACTTATTCCTGGATAAGATTGGACATGATGTTTTACAAGTTTCAGGATTGGAAGAAATCTTGAAGCTTATTGTGCAGGAGTGCGCCGGTTTACCGCTGGCAATTGTTGTAATAGGAGGGGGCATGAGGGGAGAATATGATATTATAGAGTGGAGAAATGCACTAAATGAGTTAAGCCAGTGTGTAAAAAGTGTGAAAGGCATGGAGGATAAGATATATGGACGGTTAAAATTTAGTTACGACCGTCTAAGAAGTTTGGAAATTCAAAAATGTTTTCTTTATTGCTCCTTATTCCGAGAAGATTATGAGTTTTTTAGGAAGGAGTTGATAGAAGGTTGGATTGATGGAGGATTGATTGATGAGTTGGGAAAAAGACAAGAAGCTTATGATAGGGGTCATGCTTTTTTAAATAGGCTGGAAAAGAACTGTTTGTTAGAGAAAACAATTGGTCAGGGTGGTCAAGTTTTTAAGATGCATGATGTTGTGAGAGACATGGCTATCAAAAGCATTGGTGCTGGATAATATATGGTAAAAGCTGGTATGAATCTGAAAAAGGTACCGAATGAGAGTGAGTGGGTAAGAGATCTTAAGAAGGTATCTCTAATGGCAAATGGCATTTCAAAAATTCCTGTTGGTTTGATATTGTCAAATAATGCTGATTTGGCAGAGATTCCAAGTTCCTTTTTTGAAGATATGGTCGGACTTAAGGTTCTTGATCTTTCTGGTACTAGTATTAAAGCTTTACCTGATTCCACCTCTAACTTGGTGAATCTCTCTGCACTACGGTTGAGGAAATGCAAGAGGTTAAAGTACTTTCCTTCCTTAGCAAAGCTTAGGGCATTGAAGAAGTTGGATCTGCATAAGGCAGGGATTGAGGAGGTCCCTCAAGGCATGGCGATGTTGGTGAGTCTTGAATATCTTGATTTATTTTGTCCAAAACTGAAAGAGATTCCAACGGGAATATTACCTAGCCTTCCCAATCTCCAGTACTTGGTTGTATATCTAAGCAGTGCAATTACTAAAAGGATAAATTTAGAAGAGGTTGCTAGACTGAGCAAGTTGCAGAGTTTGGAATGTGGAATAGAGGTTATACAAGACTTTAACTATCTGGCCAATAAGTCTAAAGATTTTGAAAGTCTTATGGCTTATGATCTTCGATTGACAACAGGTAAACAAGACATCACAGCTCATGGATTTTCTGATGAATATCAACATAAGGTTTTAATCCTTGATTGTGAGATTGGAGAAGAATGTATAGCGCTTCCAGATAAGCTTGAGGGTTTGTGGATCTATCATTGTAAAAACATGAAAAACATGAGATTCAGCTTAAACAAAGCAGTTTTGTTAGAAAATGCAACCGAGTTGAGAATCTGTTCTATTTGGGATTCTGAAGGGATAGAGTGCATGGTTGAGTTGGACTATTCCTCCTCTTCATTGAGTTGTCCAGTACTGGATAAGCTTGAAAAGTTGTATATTAATAACTCGCCTAACTTGAGTGCACTTGTGAGAGTGGAAGGAGTAGCAACACCACAGCCTGTCTTTTCCAATCTTAAAAGCCTTCTTCTACATACTTGTTCAGGAATGAGGACGTTGCTTCCGTTTGAGCTATTGCATGCCTTCCAAAATTTAGAGGAGATTTGGATTAGTTTTTGCAAACAAATGGAGGAGATAATAGCATCATCAGATTCAGATGCATCATCTGATATATTCAATTTTCCCAAGTTAAGGAAATTGAGATTGGACTATTTACCCCAATTGAAGAGCATCTGTAGTGGCAAAGGAGTTATGGTTTGTGATTCTATTGAAGAAATTACAGTACGTCACTGTCGGAAGTTACAGAGGATTCCTTTGCAACTTCTCCTGCTTGACAATGGCCAGCCAGCTCCTCCTCCTCATCTCAGAAAAATCAACATAGTTGGACGGGAGTCAAAAGAATGGTGGGAATCACTGGAGTGGGATCATCCTAATGCTCAGAACATGCTCCAACCTTTCTTGAAATTACATCGGTAAGGTG